AGTCTGGTTTCTGTTAACCCTTAACTTGGATCCTGGATTAATTTCTTCCTTTAAACCTTCTGAGAAAAGGAATGGATCCAAAAATGTGACCCAATGCCCTCAATTTAAAACCATTCTTTTAGGAACCGTTCAAAGTTACAACTAAAAAAATGACTTATGACCAGTCCTCACACTTACCATCACCACAGTCATATGATCAAAATTTGGGGGCTTGGCAATTAGCATGTGTTTTGCAATAGTTGCAGCATTCTGGTGTCAGGTGCATTTGCAGTCTTCCTAGCTGGCTTCCGGCAAGCAATTAATGGGAGATGCCAGATTTATTTATTCATTTAACAACAGTAGTGACAGCATGGCAAAAGAAAAATGGTACCTAGTAAAACTGAGCACGCTTCACTTAATGACCTTTCTTTTCAATGGAAATTCTGGTCCCAATTGCAGTCATAAGTCAAGGACTATGTATATGTATCTGACTCTTATTTCACAATTTTTTTTTAAAAGGTAACCTTGCTTTTAAGGAATAAAGTAGTTGACGATAGTACAGGTAGTCCTCATCTTACAACAGTTCATTTAGTGGCCGTTGTACAGCACTAAAAAAAGTGACTTACAACTGTTTTTCACACTTACAACCGTGGCAACATCCCTGGGGTCACATGATTGGAATTTGGATGCTTGGCAACTGGTTCATATTTATGATGGTTGCAGTGTCCCAGGGTCATGTGATCAGCTTTTGCGACCTTCTTAGAAGCAAAGTCAATGGAAAAACCAGATTCATTTAACAACTCTGTCACTAATTTAACAACTGCAATGGTTCACATAACTGGCAAGAAGGGTCATAGGTTTTGGGCTCCATTGTGGTCGTAAGTTGAGGACTGCCTATATTAAGCAAGAGGGAAGGGGAGGAAATTACCTGTATTTTTCACATTATAAGACACACTTTCCACCCCCCCCTAAAAAAAAAGTGGGCGGAAATGTCTGTGCATCTTATAGAGTGAATATTGCGGGGGGGAGGGGAGTTGGTGTGGCAGTGGGGTTTGCCACTGCTGCCTGTCACTGCTGCTGCCGTTCGCTGCTGCCAGGGAACACTGGAGCCTTCACTGCTGAGCAGCTGATTGGTGATTGAATCAGCCTCCTAGAATACAGCCAATCAGCTGTTCTAGGCGGCAAGGATCACTGTCGCCTATCGCTGGCGGCGATCATCCCTACCACCGCCTAGAACAGCTGATCAGCGGTATTCCAGGAGGCTGATCCAATCACCAATCAGCTGCTCAGAAGCGAAGGCTCCAGGGTTCCCCACTGGCAGCAGCTCAGTTCAGTTGATTGGTGGTGGGCACAACAGAGCGGAGCCCTGACGAGCCACATGCTGGGGCTGCAATAACATGAAGCTGACCAGGCTGTTTGCTGCCAGATGAATACCTGATCTATGCTGGGAGGAAGAGGCAGATTTTTTTTATTGTTTTCCTCTTCTAAAGCTAATGTGTGTCTTATGGTCCGGTGCATCTTATAGTGCAAAAAATACGGTATATGAGAATATTGAGGGAAAGTCTTGCCTTAATCAAGATGCCCTACGCACAGTTACTCATGCGCTGGTCACCTCATGGATTGACTACTGCAACGCTCTCTACATGGGGCTGCCCTTGAGGACCACTCGGAGGCTTCAGCTGGTGCAAAGTGCAGCCGCGCGGGTTGTGATGGGAGAATCCCGATACTCCCATGGTACACCCCTCCTGCGCGGCTTGCATTGGTTACCGGTTGCCCTCTGGGTGAGATTCAAGGTGCTGGTGATGACCTACATGGCTTAGGCCCAGGATATTTGGCAGACCACCGACAGCCAGCAACGATATCCCATCACCCGGTTCGCGCCCATAGAGAGGGCCTGCTCAGGGTGCCGTCGGCTAGACAGTGCCGGCTGGCGGCCCCCAGGGGTAGAGCCTTCTCGGGTGCGCCCACCCTCTGGAATCAACTTCCCTTGGAGCTCCGATTAGCGCCCGACCTTCGCACCTTCCGTCGTGAAATAAAAACTTGGCTTTTTAAATCGCTTGACCTGGTCTGATGGGGGATTTTAAGGATTAAATTTTAAATTTTTTAGATTTTAGATTTTATTTTGTATTGTGGCTTCTGTTTTTATTATTGTGAGCCGCCCTGAGTCCATTGGGAGATAGGATGGCATATAAGCCGAATAAAATAAAATAATAAAATAATAAAATAAAATAAAATAAAATAAAATAAAATAATAAAATAATAAAATAATAAAATAATAAAATAAAATAAAATAATAAAATAAAATAAAATAATAAAATAAAATAAAATAAAATAAAATAAATAAAATAAAATAAAATAAAAAATAAAAATAAAATAAAATAAAATAAAATAATAAAATAAAAAAAAAATAAAAAAAATAAAATAAAATAAAATAAATAAAATAAAATAAAATAATAAAATAAAATAAATAATAAAATAAAATAAAATAAAATAATAAATAAAATAAAATAAAATAAAATAATAAATAAAATAAAATAAAATAAAATAAATAATCTCTAATAAAATTCTCCCACCAGGTTTTTAATGCAAAACATCCAAAGGGCTCTGGATAGAGAACTTTGTCGTGCCCTTAAAACAGGGGTGTCAAATTCAAGACCCGCGGGCCAGATCCAGCCTGGGGGGTGCTTAGATCTGGTCCCCGGGGCCAGCTTGGAAACAGCAAAGGACTGGTCCACGGTGCCTCTGCCAGAGAAAATGGAGCTTGTGGGGGGCTGCAAAAGGAGAAATGTTCCCCTTTTGCATTTGAGCATGCAAGAAGGGGCAGGAAAGGAGAAAGGGAAAGAGGAAAGACAAAGAAAAAGAAAAAGGAGGAAAGAGGGGAAAGAGCAAGGAAAAATAAGAAAAGAGGGGAAGGAAGAGGAAAGGAGAATGAAGAGGGAAAGAAAAAGGGAAGGAAGGGAGATTATAATGAGAGTGAGGGAGGGTGTCAGGGAAGTCCTGCCTTAGCACTTGGCCACCACAGGTGCCCCCGACACGAGTCACATGTCATTCCCACCATGACCACGCCCCACATCTCCCTCTGGCTCTCCAAGGTCAAACACAACCCTGATGTGGTCCTCAATGAAATCAAGTTTGACACCCTTGCCTTAAGATTTCCAGAGAGGTTTTGGGATATTCAATCCCAGAAAGAAGGGAAAAAAATCAATCAGTCTTGAAGTGTAGAATTGGGACTGCTCTCTACCCATTTCCTGTTCTCTCCAAACAAGCAGGTAGAAAAGGTAAGACAGTGGAATGGAAGTGAAATGAACATTAAGGCTAAAAATTACACCGAGATGAAAAAAAGATACCTTGTTTTTGAAAGAGGACAAATTTGATATAAAACGTTGGGTGAAGAATACTGACTGTTTTTATGTTTCACATCCCAGGGTAAAATGTGAAGCAGCTTAAATTTTAAAATGCTCCCCTCATTTTTTGGAATGATTTTATGTATAAACACCATTCAGCACTAGTATGCTGAATTTAACACTGGGGCAACAACTAACTTATTTTACGAATCATATCCTCTGCTAGGGCAATTTACATCATTTTGATTAGCTGAAATGATATTCCACAGATATGCTATTACAGGTAGTCCTTGATTTATGATCACAATTGAGCCCAAAATTTCTGTCACTAAGCAAGATGGCTGTTAACTGAGTTTTGGCCCATTTCACATCCTTTCTTGCCACAGTTGTTAAGTGAATCACTGCAGTTGTTACGTGAATCTGGCTTCCCCATTGACTTTGCTTTTCAGAAGATCACAACAAGTGATTAAATGACCCCGGGATAATGCCATCCTAAATAGATGCCAGTTGCCAAGCATCTAAATTTTGATCATGTGATCATGGAGATGCTACAACAGCCATAGGTCACTTCTTTCAATGCTGTTGTAACTTGGATCACTAAACAAATGGTTGTAAGTTGAGGATACCTGTGTTTTAATCATAATTTTTATTTTAAATATAATTTTTGTAAATGAATATTTGCAATCTGTTTTTAAGTAGGCAGCTGAGGAAGCCCTCTGTGCAAATTTCTCAAGGTTAGTGATGGCGTGGAACTCTTGAATAGTCAGTATCTGTGGTATAAATGAAGTATAAATATAAGGCTTGCCAACACTCAAAAGTACTTCTAGTTGACTGTGAGGAAGCATTCAACAAATGAGAGACAAATGGAATACAGTTTTTAAGAAATCGGAAAATACAGAGATGACCTTCCTTATTTTCTAAGCAAGAAAAAAAGAAACTATTTTATATTGGGCTGCATTGTGGCCAATTTTGCACCGTGTGCCAAGATATGTCCTATTTTAATCATTTTAAAAATAAATGATAACAATCTGGATTCCCACAGGGAATCCCACAACCCATATTTGCAAACCACAATCACTAAATATGTTAAGCCAAAACCAGATAACCATATTATGTCTTAGTTCAATGTGTGGACCACAAGGGTGAGTTTTTACATTATAATGAACCACTTCACAACGATGTGAACATCTGTCTTGTGTTATCCTAAACCAAGTAAGTCACATTATGTCTTAATATATGTTTGTGTTCTTAATATGTTTGTGTTTTGCCTCTGCAATTTAGCTTTTCAGTTTAATTCTGGCTGGTGGCAGTTCTTCAACACTTTTCCTCATTACATGTAGTCCTCGACTTAACACCACAATTAAGCCCAAAATTTATATTGCCAAGCGTGATAGTTAAGTGAGTTTTGCCCCATTATACAATCTTTCTAGCCACAGTTGTTAAGTGAATCAGTGCAGTTGTTAAATTAGTAATACGGTTGTTAGGTGAATCTGGCTTCCCCAGTGATTTTACTTGTCAGAAAGTGATCACATGATCCCAGGATACTGAAATCATCATAAATATGAGTACCGTAGTCGCCAAGCATGGAGATGTTGTTTTAAGTTAAGAACTACCTGTACTATGTACCTTGGTAAACTGAACTTAGAAACTATAAAATTTTGGTCTTTCTTCAATCAGAAGGCAGTTTTGCCAGAATGGGGGCAAAGGATCTGCACCAAGGAGAGTTGGAGGCAGAGGAACAAGGATGGAGATCTCCAGAATTCGGGGAGGTGCTTTTCCCAAAAAGCAGTGATCTTCCCAGAAGATCACATGTGAGCAAGTGTGATTCAGAAAGGCCACAGAAAGGCAGCCTTTCCACAAGAATGATTAAGGACGAAGTATTTGGGGGAGTCCCAACCGACCTAGAAACGAAACGACATCTGTGTAAGGAATGTGGGAAAAGGTTTCGGAAGAAGTGGGATCTCATCAGGCATGAAAGGATCCACACGGGTGAGAAACCGTATCAATGTCCAGAATGTGGGAATAGCTTCAACCGGAATACAACCCTCACAAAACATCTCCTCATTCATTCAGGAGAGAAGCCTCACCAGTGTACGTACTGCGGAAAGAGGTTCACACGGCGTTCACATGTTGTGAATCATCAGAGACGCCACTCATGGTAGGTGCCCCTCTTCTTCTCTCGGTTGTGTGGTTGGAACACTCACAATTCACTAAATCCCCATGTAGGCCACCTATGTAGGCAATTTATTTATTTATTTATTGGTTCGATTTATATGCCGCCCTTCTCCAGAGACTCAGGGTGGCTTACAATGCGTTAAGCAATAGCCTTCATGCTTTTGTATATACCTGCTTAGTAGCACACCCCCCCCCTTGCGCAGCTTAGGGCAACCTTGGGCTCTTGGAGGTAAAAGAAAGAGCTAAAACTAAGGGGAAAAAATAGATATGCAAGTTGAAAGGAAATGTGGGCAGGAGCAGCATGACCTAATAAATCTTTATTGACATTTGCTTCTTAAAGGATCGTAATAAATCAGCATTTCTCAACCCTGGCAACTTTAACATATGTGGACTTCAATTCCTAGAATTTTCCAGCTAGCATGCTGCATGGGGAATCCTGGGAGTTGAAGTCCATTTGTATTAAGGTTGAGAAATACTGTAACAAATGTTTAGATTGCAGAAAAAAGGAGGTAAGGTGTACTAATTAGGATGGAGAAAAAACATTTTCATTGGAGCTACAAAGTTCCTATTGGTTGGAGATTGAAACAAACACCTGATGAAAAACAGATGGAGTATACGGTAACCTCAAGAGTCCCGAACTACAGTCTTAGCCTAACCTAGCTAATATTGTGCATGGTGAGGGATGTTGCCAGTAGAAATCCACAACTGGATGGCTACAGGATTCCTGTTCCTGTTTTAAGGAGATGGGGGCTGTTGTCTGATTAAAGGAGGAGGAGGTAAATTCCTATATAATTAGTCAGCCTTACTTGAGTGTCTTTTTGCATAGTTACCCAGAAATCAGCCTCATTGGACACAGGAACTGACTGATTAATACGCTTATTTGAGTTGTTTTTATGTGCAATGTATTAAACCACTGTTTCTCAACCTTAGCAGATTTAAGAAGTGTGAACTTTGGCTCCCAGCATTCCCCAACCAGCATGGGTTTTGATCATTATGGGCTGGCTGAAGAATTCTGGGAGCTGAAGTCCATGCTCTTAAGTTGCTAAGGTTGAAAAACACTCTGTTAGATACACTTCAGAAATGTAGCCAATTCAGATTCAGTAGAGGAAGCATTTTAACTATTTTAACTCCAAAGCACCCTAAGCCAGTTGTTAGACAAAATTTCTGGCCAGAAAATCAATGCAGAACACCAGCCATTTCTGAGCTAACAGTCTCCATTGTCCAGTTAATCTTGCAAGGAAACAATATGTGATGAACATCAATTAGAAATACAAGACAACACATTACAAAATTTGCAGCTATGGTCTGTCAGTCAAAGTACTTGTCTCCCCAAAAAGGGATTAGCTGCTGCCTGCCTGGTTATCTAATGGGGTCCTTGATTAAAAGGACCCTTACAAGTGCTTTCTATGTACAAGGATCATGGATGCTGAGCAGAACCAGAAAAAGAGGTTAGGGGATCCATATTTCCCCATATGAGGGCATTAGATCCTATTAACGTGATTGCATGCTGCCAAATCTGTCTATAAACTTGGGTTAATAGCAGCCTGTGTTAAAAGTATTGTGAAGCAGAGCAAGTGGCTTTTCTTTTTTTTTTTTAAAACGATTTCTGCATCCTAGTTTCAACCTCTGACATCTTTAGAATCAGAGAACCAATGAGCTTGCAGAGTATCTGGTTAAAGACCTGACAGGACAGATAGTCACAAGTTACGACCATGATTGAGCCTGGAAATTATAGTTGTAAGTCATGTTGGTCGTAAAGCAAATTACTATGTGCCCAGACCCAATTTTACTACCTTTTTCATATGGACATTAAGCGAACACCAGTCGTTAAGTGAACTTGTTCAGTATGGAGCAGTTTTGCCAGAAACCAGAAGTAAACTCGTTTCCAGCAAAAACATCGTAAATTGCAATCACATGACCAGGGAGTGCTATAAACAGCCATAAATGCAGACGGTTGCTGAGTGCCCAAAATATTGTCATGTGATCATAGGACCGGGGGGGGGGGGGGGGGGACCCAATATCAGAACTTCAAAACTGGGTTGTAAGTATCTTTTGGAGAGTTCATCATAATTTTGAACAGTCACTAAGCGACCTGCTGTAAATCAAGGACTACCTTTACCACTATTTCGGAATGTATATGAATGAAATGACATGCAAGCTGATTTTTCAATTTGTTTTAAGTGACTGGAACATTTTTTTTTTCTGAATGTCCTCTTCAGTCCTTTTCTAAATGTTGAAGGCTGTCCAATTTCAGCTTAAACTATGGCTCATTTGAAAGAGAACCGGTCTTGATTTTCTTATTATTCTGATTGTCTGTCCTCTACTTTGTTTGCAGCCAAGGAAGATCTTGACAAAAGGATCTACTGCTTCCAGTTTGGGCAACAGATTGAGAAGCCCTATATGACCGGGGAATAAAGGTAGCTCAGTTTGTGTCCTGTAGGGTTTGGAATTTAGATCCAAGGGTAGGAGTGGGGTGGATTATTGACTATTGGCTGTTTGTCCACATCTTGAATATGATCAAAATGGGTCTAAGGACACACAGCTCTCAGGGGCATCCATTCTGTTGAGTGTACAAAGGAAAATCTGTACATATTTATGCCATTCAGTAATGATAGAAGAACTAAGACTCCATCTAAGTCAAAAGACTATTCATCCACATTTTACTTGATTTGGAATGGGAGTGAGAGATTGCGTTCCTGTTTATTTTGTATTATTTGGACTGCTTGTTGGCTAGAAATGAGTATATCATGCCACTAATTCAGCCCTGAATATAGATGAGTGGATGCTCCTGGGGAAACTGCTAATTTTGATCAGTATTTTTGTATCAGCTAAAGCCTTGTGAAATCAGAAAAATCCTTTTCCTGCTTTGCTGTACCCATGCCCAAAACAAATGATGCTCATTAAGGAAGTAAGATTTAAAGGCAAAACATCTTCCAGTAATGGAGCAGGCTGGCAAAATGATACTTGCCAACTATTTGGGAAGGCAGTCCGCAGATTTAACCTCTGAAGTGTTGAAGCTCAGTGGAAAAACGATACTAACCATTAACTCAGGATAAAAGAAATTCCAAGTTTTAAGTAAGAGGCAGGACTGATTGATTGACCAAGAAGCACTGACCTGGTATGCTTTTAAATGCAAATTTAGATCCAAAATATATTCCCATCATGGAGACTTCAGTCCTTTTGCACGTCAAGCTGCCCAGATGTAGGTATACATTTGGCAGTGCAATTTGGGGAAGGAAGGCCAGATGGGAAAACAGGAAGCAAAGTGGCCTCATTGTACACTGTGCTTGCTGGGATGGTTTTTTATATTGCTCTGTGGCAATATAGGGGTGATCACAGTTTTACTGCAAGGTTAGAAAACTGTGGCCCTCCAGTGGCTGCTGAATACAGCTCCCAGCATTCACCACAACTGGCCATGCTGGAATAATGTGAAGTGAAACTGACTTGGCTATTTGATGATTCATTTTTTATTCTGTACAGTAGAAAACCAGTGCAACATTTGTTTACATAATAAGTTATTTCCCCCTTTTTACAAACAGTCTGGAAACTGCTTAGAGACTTTTGATTACAGAATTCATAAATTAATTTTCACAAAGACAGACATCTGTTTTAATATATTGTCAAATCATTTTGACTTTTCAAGCTTCTTAAGATCCTATTCTACCAGCAGTACATATATTTCACATGAGAGGAAAAAAATGACTTTTTTTCAAAGCTGGGTCCTTTTTAAATACAGTACACCACAGATAAAATCTGGAGTAACTTCAAATCCTATGGCTTGATCATGTGGCCATTATGTGAGGAATATTTATTTTTTAGGAATGATCTTTTATATATTCTTCAGTTTCTATGGCTGCCTTTTTAGCATATAGGATAACTGCTATCTTTATAATACAGACTTTCAAGTTTATTTTGTACACTATCATAATCAAAGACTCATGTTAGGTAATTTCATTAAAAACATAATTCTACCTTGATGGTCCAACTGATGGACTTTTAACCCCATTCATTAATTTATTTAGAGGCATGGATTTATTTAGAGAGTTTAGGTAAGCTACTGTGCCCTCAGTCCTCTCATCTGCAATATTTGGTTAATGCCAAGCTAAAGAATTACTGAAAGTGTTTGTTAAATACTATGCATAAATGAGAAAACGGCCATATAAAATCAGAAATGTGTAATCTGGAGAATCTCTCTGCACTTCAGAGTGTCTTTTTTACAATCCATTTAAGCATTCAATTCGCTATAGGTACAGTAGAAACAAATAACTGTATTATTTACATATTCATTTTAAGTTTACTGACTCTCAGTCTAAAACACCAAACTTACATACTTTGCAGCCAGAAGTTTTGGAAATGGAAACTTGGAACTAGTTCTTCTCATTTAAGTTAATGATTCTGTGCACTTCCCAAGCATTCCTGCCTCACAATCCATAAACTTCCAGCATGACTATGGTCCTTCAATTTAATTATTCCACTTAATGAAAATTAAATATTGTTTGTTAAATGATTCTGGGGTGGGACACGAGAGCAGAGAATCCAGTCCTACTTAGCTGTTTTCTAGACTTTTGCACGTCAGACTAAGAAAAGCTGAACTGTACACCATGTTGAGATCCTGTGATCCACTCTCAGCAAGGAAATAGGCCTTGGTTACTTTTTAAAGGTCTCTTTTAAAAGTCTTCTCCTTCACGGTTGCAGTTCATCAGCCCAATGTTTCTGCAGGATAAAAGTGATTGATTATATTGGATGAAGACATAAGTGAAGCAGGTACAATATATACATAAGAAAAATAAAGAAAATAAAATCTCAGCTTGCCTAAGCTGTAACCAAAATTATTATTGGTGAAAAGAGAAAAAATACTGATTCAAAGAAGAAAAGATTAGCTCAGAATTCAAAGTTTCAATTAAAACAGGACATAAAAACTGTTGAACTTAATTCAGGAAATAAACATTTCAAGATAAACCACACAAGTCTAGAAAGAACAGCAAGAGCTTCACCTGAGAGGAGGTGGGATCGGCCTCTAAGTTACCATAGCAACCTTTATGGTGACGAATCAGATCTCCCCAAAGGATAAGATTCTTGCAGCTGAAGAAAAGGGGGGAACCACGATATTGTTAGTTTTAGTTTCACATCAGGCATAAAAGCTGGCCTGGTCACTTTAGGCCACTCACATTTTCAGCTCAACCCACCTCACAGGAGTGTGGGAAAAATAGGAAGAGGAAGGCATGTTAGGTGTGCTTACTACCACCTTAAGTTAGTTATAAAATAATAAAGGTGGGATAAAAGCCAATACATAAATAAATAAATAAATAAAGCTAATAATTGGGAAACAGGTGCAAGGACAGAATACCAACATCTACACTCCACATTCCCCCAATGCACAGGAGAAATTGCTTACCCCGGGCACTGTCCTTCAATGGGCAGGATATGATTAGGCTCCTTTTCCAGGAAAAGATGAGACAGGCAAAACATATGAGCAGCCATGGTACAAGTTGGGTGAAAACAGTGCAAGGGAATGTCCTCATCCCCATCCTGCAGAGGAATTTTAGAAAGAGTGTACTTCAATCCAGAGGAACCTGCTGCTCCCCAAACAAATACAGGGTTAACTGCCACCATATTTTGATCCTAAATCCAGTTCTTCCCCACCCTTTCTTAGTCAAAGTTATTTCTTCCAGTTCAGATCCAATTGTGCCTTAGAAGTGGCATTTTAGAAGCTCAGCTCCCATTTTCTCAGAGCAATTTCGCCTCTTAGGGTCCACTCAACTTCTAGCCTTCCTATTTGTTGAAAGAACACACAGCACCCCAGATTGTTACCTGGAAAGTCTTTAGACAGACACTACAATGTTTTGTGGTCTCCACTTTTTCCTCTGGAGATGACGGTTCAGCACATTTAGTATCTTTGACAGCTCGAACTGGCCCAAAGGCTATGGGCATGTGTAAGGGGGGTTCCAAGCCTGGGGGGAACTCTCGGCAGTACTCCTGCTTGAGCCATCGTATGGTGAGGGGCAGACGGCACCATGGGGCAGTTTGCAACATGTGGGCTACGACACGCAAGTGGAAGTCAAACTGACGCTCCCGTGTTTTGCGGCGGGTGACATGGGTAAGACGGCGGGACGAGTGAGGATGTTGCCAGGCCCATTCAAACTGGAAATTAGCAAGAGAGAGAGGGGATAAATCAAAAGGGGTTGCTGAAACTTAGGAAGGAATGAACAGAAAGTAAAGATCTGTCCACTTACTGTTAGGGTTTAACTATGGCTTTTTCAGTAACATAGTACTCGACTTAACCACCACAATTGGGACTGTTGCTAAACAAGGCAGTTATTAAGTGAGTCACATGCAATTTTATTATCTTTTTTTGCCATGGTTAAGCAAATTACTGCAGTTGTTAAGTGAATCATGCAGTCATTAAGTGAGTCCAGCTTCCCACATTGACTTTGCTTGTTGGAAGCCAGTTGATAACGTTGCAAATATTGATCACATGATCCTGGGATACTGTAACCATCATAAATATATGTTGGTTACCAAGTATCCAATTTTGATCACATGACCAATTTTGATATATCCTGCAACAGTATTAACTGTGAGGATTGGTTTTAAGTTGTTTTTTTTCAGTGCTGTTGTAACTTTGAACAGGCTAAATGAATGGTTGTTAAGTCAAAAACTAACTATACTTGACTTCTGGTTGACGTCACAGTGATATCAGACACAGGGAATGGGTCTCCGCATTCCCTGTGCCGAGTTCTCCCTGTTCGTGGGCTCCGTGAGAAGCCAAAGCCTCCCTGTAGGGGCAGTGAAGCAAAGAGGGGCGCCCTGTGAGGTCGAGGAGAAGCGCAGCTCTCCTGCCTGACCCCGGGGTTCCTTTTCCCTCTCAGCCACAGCAAGAAGAAGAGGCAGCCTAAAGATGGCTGCCACAAAGCTGGGACAACCGAGGAACAACTAAGACTGGTGCTGGAGCAAAGCAGGTGAATAGTAACTGGAACTGGGGGTGAGGACACTTTTTTGCCTTAAATTTAACCCCAAGGAATAATTTAAAACTATTTCCTCTGAATTATTTGTTAAAGTGGCGTCTAAGCATTCTGAGAAAATACCAGACCGGAAGTGGAAGACGCAAGAGAGAAATATAATAAATTTTGAAATATACAGAAAATTGGATTCTTAAACTGGGAAGAAGTGGTACTAGGAAGGCAGTTTAAAATGCTGGAATTATTTACTTATAAATCTTACTCTGATTTTATAGTTGATTTATAACTAAAATGACAATTGGCTAGTGGCAATACTGAAATATAAATTGAGAGTGCCACCTGCTGACAAAAGGAAAAATTACAAGTCTGGGAATATCTATATAAAAGACTGAAAATACTTACTGGATTATTCTCATCTATCCTATGTCTGCTGGAGACTCAAATACGAAAATAAGGAAACTATATAATTAAAAGGACCCCTGAATGTTATGCTAGAAAATTAAACCTGTAAAGGGGATGCAAAGAGACTTTTGATAACCTCTGGGACTATTTAAATGGAACTGACTGTTTACTTATGGGATATAAAGAACTGTGATCAGTGCATTCCTTGAAGGGCAATTTAAGGACTGAATAAATAGTTCATGGACTGTTGGATAAAAGTTGAATTTCTTAAAAAACAATATAAGATGCCTTATAAGGAAGAAATGAGTGGAACATTGAAGGAGATGGCGTTACTCTTTCAAAATACAAAGGATATCATGGAGAAAGGATTTAAGGAGATTACGGAAAAAATGGAAAATACTATACGAGGGATGATGAGTGAAGACCAAGACGCCCAGGAATAGGAGGCGCCAGCAGAAGAAATGGAGGAAGGGATTGAGCCCAAGAGTCAGAGAACAGGAGAAGACAGGAAGGAAGAGTTAACAAAGAAAATAACAGTGACTGATGAATTAAATGTGGGGAAAACATACTATGAGAGTTGGAAGATACTTTTGAAAGGGAGATAGGGGTCTGGACAGAAATTTTTGAAACTTAGGCAGTGGAAGAGGGTAGAGGTGGGAGAAATATTTAGATTGAACATTTTATTTAATATTTGCTAATGATTTCTAATAGAAATAATTAGATATCCTTTGCAGTTTCTGATTATCTTTCTCATTATCAGAAAAATAATTACATATTCTGATGGAATTACTGTCAGTTTTCAGCTCTTTTTAAAAGTGAAGAACTTCATGTAAATAAACTGGAAAACTTCTGTGTGAAAAAAAAAAATTAGATTGAACAACCAAGACGCAGACAGAGATAAAGATCCAAGAGAGGAATATATGAGAGACAAGTCAAAAAAAAGCATAGCAATTAAAATATTAAAGTGGGCAAGAGATGATGGGCAGATAATTTCTTTTTTATGTTGTTCTGATTTGCTTTTCTTTTTCTCTCGCTTTCTTTCCTTTTATTAGGTAGGTGACATGACTAGAAGTTAGGATAGAAAGAAAATGTTTTTTATATAAGGGTGATATGATTAAAAGGTAGAATAAAATAGAAGAGGGAATATTAATGTATACACTTTTATATAATAAAATAAAAGCAATGAGAAAACAAGGAATAATTGGATGATAGATTGCAACTTAATGTAAATGTGTATTAATAGAAATATATAAGTTGATTAAGTGTAATAATTATTATTAACTTTACTAGTTTTATTCGCATTAGAATGTATGACACTCAGGTGCCACACTGTTCACGCATTGATATGTTTGTAAAGAAATAAAAAAAATTTAAAAAAAAAAACTATTTATACTCAATTGGATGGGTTCCCAGAACATACTGAATCCCAGATTAGTTAGGTTTGGTGAACGCACAGAATCTCAAGCTAGCTAACCACGTATTAGCTTGTTATATTTTGTAAATCCTGAGAAAGAAAAAATAATAATAAGTACTGAGAAGTGCCTTACGCGCAAAGCAGCCACATCAGAGGGGAAACCATGAACAATCAACACCATGTCCCTGCAAGAAGAAAGAAATACATGAAATTCAAAAGGACAGCAACTCATTTGTCCCAGAAAGTTCAAATTTCAGTCTCTAAGGATCTCTGAATTTTCGCCTCACTCAAATCTCATCACAAAAGAGAAAAAAAAAAACATGGTGAAAAAACGGTTTCCTGTAGAGCAATGTTTCCCAACCTTAGTCATTGTAAGACACATGGACTTCAACTCCCAGAATACCTGCTGGCTGGGGTATTCTGAGAGCTGAAGGCCACATCTTAAAATGGCTAAGATTGGGAAACACTCCCTTGGAGCCTCCCAAGTTTTTTCCCCTACATCTGGTTGGGGCTAAGAAGGAACTGTATAAACTTCATAAATTATTTGCGAATATAGCATCTTTTACACACTCATGGTTCCAAAGTCTCCTGGGACCAAAAACACTCATACCATGGCCCACGTCCACTTGTCTTCCAGGCCCCACCACACCGCTTCCCAGCATTGTGTTGGTCTATGCGTCGTTCGGGATTGACAGTGAAGCCAATGTAGATCCGTCCCTGATAACGGGGATTGGTGCAGTATAATAGATATACCCCAAAGAAGCCACATACTTCCACCACCATCTCTCCCACAAAGGGAGGAACAGGCTGAAGAAACCTACATGAAAGAAGAAATCAAGTGTTAGAAAAACTGAACACCCATAACTATCCACCCCATTATAAGAATCCAACAAACAGGTTTGATAACTGCTAGGGTAGCTCGCAAATGTTTTTGAACTACAATTCCCAGCATCCTTTTCTAGCAGTCATCTGGCTGGTGCTGCTGGAATTGCAGCTAAACTCTCCCTGGTGTTATTTTCCCTACTTCTCTTCCGAGATACTTTGCTAGGATTTTGACACGCGAATCACAAATTCGACTCCTTTGTATCTTCAAGGCAGGGAGAATTTTTTGCCAACCAGCAGGATTCCCCACCAAAATATCTGAAATTAAAATTCCTGCATTCCCAAGTGGAGGAGGAGGAAAAAAACAAAACAAAACAGTACCTGTTGAATTTCTGCCTGCTGTGCAACCCAGAATGCAAACCTAATCCTGCATATAGTGGCTTTTACTATTTAGCAGAGTCCCCTTTCCCTTCGGATGCGGCTTGAGCGACCAATAAAGCAGACATTTGCCATCACGCCCTGCACCTTTCCAGCCCCAGCCCTCCACGTTCTCGTCGCCACGCCCCTTTCGAACCTGCCCTACCCTCGTGACCACAGCAGACGGTAGGCCGTTACCTAGCAATCTTCCTGTCCACGCTACTGACCGTTTTTTCAAACGACACCTTGCTTACATGCTATTGGCGAAGACAGCGAGATGTCCCGCCCACATAGGGAAAAAACTGCAGTACCGCAACTGGATGAAGTAAGAAGAGCTATTTAATAGGAAGGAGCTCTAGAGATCCGAATGGAGGTGGCTTTAAAAAAAAGTCACAGTATAAACTTAGATTTTTTTTTTAATGTTAACTTTAACAAATTATACGCATGTGTTCTGTATACTGTTCGTACTCTATGTATACGTTTATATAGAATTGCAAAGAAATATTCCTAAACCATGAAAGTTTAATCCATCCCAGACCAAGCCAAGTCCAAAAATGCCAGACAATTTCCAGAAGCCTGGCACTCTGACATCACCAGGGGTGAAATCCAGCAGGTTCTGGCAGATTCTGGAGTAGCGGAAATTTTGAGCAGTTCGGAGAATCGGCAAATACCATCTCTGGCTGGTTCCAGAATGGAATGGGAATGGAGATTTTGCAATATCCTTCCCCCAGGAATGGGGATTTTGCAGTATCCTTCCCCTACCATGCCCAGCAAGCCACGCCCATAGAACCGGTAGTAAAAAAAAATTGGATTTCACCACTGGAAATCACCTATCAATAGACACATAGACATTAACAACATTTGGGCACCCTTTTTTTGAACTATTACCATCTGGCAGATGGTACAGGATAATAAAAACAAGGACAAATAGTCTGAACTATTTGTTCTAGACTAGAGCTTCTATACCAGGGCAATAACCATATTGAATTCTACGGTATAGTGCAATATCTGGTTTTCAATAACAATTATATGGAATGTAAAGGATGTATGTTTGTGTTTTTATTTTTATAGTTGTAATGTACACTGAAGACGGCATTTAATTTCATTGTACCATGTGCAATGACAATAAGTAAACTAAACTAAACTAAATTAAACTAAACCATGCAAAAGAGAGCCCAAAAAGACCCAAGCATTTTTCCACTAGCAAATCAGCACCCAGATCAGCATAGAATAACTTCAAGGTTAACATCAGACCAACAATCAAGTAAATAATACCTCAAACAAGAATACTGTCGAAGCGATGAATAAACAGCCCAACCAAAGAATCTCTAAGACTGCCCTCACTAACACTGACAGACAAGCCACTAGATTAGAATATAAATTGAGAGAAAACCAGGGGTGAAATCCAGCAGATTCTGACAGATTCTGGAGAACCGGTAGCGGAAATTTTGAGCAGTTCGGGGAACTGGCAAATACCGCCTTTGGCTGGCCCCAGAATGGGATGGGAATGGAGATTTTGAAGTATCCTTCTCCTGGAGTGGGGTGGGAATGGAGATTTCGCACTATCCTTCCCCCAGGAATGGGGAGGGAATGGGGATTTTGCACTATCCTTCCCCTGGAGTGGGATGGGAATGGATATTTTGCACTATCCTTCACCTAGAGTGGGGTGGGAATGCAGATTTTGCAGTATCCTTTCCCTGGAGTGGAGTGGGAATGGAGATTTTGATTTTACACTATCCTTTCCCTGGAGTGGATGGGAATGGAGATTTTGCACTATCCTTCCCCTGGAATGGATGGGAATGTTTTGCACTATCCTTCACCTAGAGTGGGGTGGGAATGGAGATTTTGCAGTATCCTTTCCCTGGAGTGGAGTGGGAATGGAGATTTTACAGTATCCTTGCCCTGGAGTGGGATGGGAATGGAGATTTTGCACTATCCTTCCCCTAGAGTGGGGTGGGAATGGAGATTTTACACTATCCTTCCCCTGGAGTGGGGTGGGAATGGAGATTTTGCACTATCCTTCCCCTGGAGTGGAATGGGAATGGAGATTTTGCAGTATCCTTCCCCTGGAGTGGGATGGGAATGGAGATTTTGCAGTATCCTTCCCCTGCCATGCCTACCAAGCCACACTAAAAAAAATTGGATTTCACCACTGGAGAAAACCCCACTCCTTACCCCAGTAGCACTGATGATGCTACCTAATCTGGGTAATGAAACGCCTGCAAGAAAACAAGCAAGTTCAGAGAGCACCAAGGACTCATCGAAGAAGGTGTTTAGGATAACTTTTAGGAGCGGCTGGGCTGCTGTATCACTCTTCCTTTGGTTGCTCTAGGGATGAAACCACCGGGGTGACGTTTTGCAAATTGATTGGCTAAAGACCGCCACGGGGAGAGGATGTGACGTCACGCAGGGGCGGAAATGAAAGCTACTGGCTCCTCTTTCATTCAGGGAGGCTTTACAGGGAGCGATGGAGCCGTCCGGAGTTCTCAGCGCGGAGTCCCTGCGCGAGAGGCTGCTTCAGGGACTTGGGGCCGAGCACGTGGTAAATGGGGTAGCTTCCCATGCACTGCCCGAAAGCTGACAGTCCAAAGGGCTCGATTCAAGTTGGCACCCTTTCTGCTCTAAAATTCGACTTTAAAAACCCTTGCTTGTTCTTTTGCAGGGCTATTTTTTACGTTGCTTTTTAAAAGTACACGGCTCAGTCATTTTCCAGCTTAGTTTTCGTCTCCCGTTATTCATAGCGTGCCATTGTTTATTTAAAAGTTTTGTGCCGCTTAAAAACCTACGTTCTATTGAAAAACGCAAATATTTCTTTTGTAAAAAAAAAAAATCTTCCATTGAAGGGCTACAGGATACTTCTGCTTCTCTGACAGGATAAACCAGTTTTCATGAGTTGGTTTTTTAAGAATGTGCTTTCCATTATCCCCAGCGAGCCTAGACTTTAGAGCACACCAGGTTGGGGGAAAGTCTGTAGAGATCCTCAGTCATCCAGGTCATGGTGCTTTTTCAGGAGGCAACTGGACTTTCTTGTTTTTTCTTTGAAGACATTTTCCTTCTCATCCAATAAGTTTCTTCAGCTCTGACAGGATAGTGGGGAATGGAAGGATTTATAAACGCAAGGAATATAAATCCTTCCATTCCCCACTATCCTGTCAGAGCTGAAGAAGCTTCCCGGATGAGAAGGAAAATGTCTTCAAAGAAAAAACAAGAAAGTCCAATTGCCTCCTGAAAAAGCACCCTTGGGCCAGTTTGAGGAAAGATGGCTTTAAAATTTCCCTACTTTTCCAGAAGTAAATGACTTTTTAAAAATTCTCCGTATCAATTTTGCATTATTAAGTTTAAGCTCTAAATCTTGCTCTTTGCTGGGGTAAGAGTGTGTTTGCTGTTTTAATAGGCTGCTGTCATACCAACTAATTTAAAAATGTCTTCCCAGAGTGATGGGAAATAACTTCATACTTTCAACAGAAGAATGCAGGTAAAAGAAAGAAAAATAATAGATTCTGAGCAGCCTATAAAATTAGGCCAGATCAAAATGACAGGAGCCTATTTGTAGACCTGTTCTAACTTTCTCTAAATTCAGTGAAATTTGATCCTTACGATACATTTAAGTATTCAGTAGCTTCATTAAATTCAGTGATAGATTGTTTTTAAATAGGCATATCAAGGATTATGTTATGGATATTTTTAACCCAAATTTTGGGTTCTTTTGAAACGGTTTTTCCTTTTTTTCCTTATTTGATCTACATTTCATTTTCTAATTATATATATATATAATGCACTCTTTTCTGAGATCCCTTCCATTTTTATTCCCTGTAATTTCCTGATAATAAACTGGCCTTTCTTATGCTTTTTTAACAACTCCTCTCAAAGTTTACTTCCCCATTATCTGTTTGGATATAAATAAAATGTATACAGGTTATTAAATGTATTATTATATTCTAAATTTTATATATATAATTTCTTTATTTTACACCCTATAAGGAGGTAGAAGATACTACTCCTGGGCGCTGTGCTACAAGCTTCAAAGTTTTGGTAGTTTCTCCATGTTTCCGAGGAAAAGCACTGTTACAACGACACCGGTAAGTGTAGGAAGAGCTAGTTTAGTCAGTGGGAGATGGACTGAACAGTCTTTTATTTTCTTATTGGTTGGAATTATCCTAACAGTTTTCCAAAACTTTAGAATGTTAGGAAATGAGGACTACAAAAACCAGGCATTCTTTACATTTATTTTTCATGCTTTCCTGCTTCCTCAGTCATCTTCCATTTTGTCTTTTGCTCCTCTATTGATTTAATCTACCCTTAATTTTAAATCCCATCTTTCCCCTGAAGTGCTCAGAACAGGGTAGATAATGTTCACTTTCTCCATTTGATCCTACAACAGCAGTGGTTCTGTGAGGTAATAGTTGATTTAGATTTAGTCCAGAAAAGTAAATGCATTCATATATACAATATGCTCTTTCTTCTGGAGTTTATTTATTAAATACTTTCTCATACTTTCATTATCCTGATTTAGATGTATAGATCTAGTTTAGAAATGGAAATGTATTGAACCCATAGGATAAATAAAATCGCTATTAAAAATAAAGGCATTTAAAAATTGTGATTCCCTAAGCATAGATCATACAAAGGCTGCCTTTTAATATGCTGTGCTAGTTTTAAAGGCTACCTAAATCGCACATGATTATGAGATACCAACATTGCATTTTAGTACCTCAAAATTGTATTCAGGCTACTTCACAACTTCTCTATGACATTCTTTTTTATTTGGATCCTTCCAAATATTTTAATAACAAATGAACAATTTATCTGCATTGTTTTTTATTACATTATTAACAATGTAAGGAAAAATAGTTGAACATCCAAAAAAATGCATAATTAATGGTATGATTGTGTGAAAAAAGTGAATTATGTATTTGTCCCTACTTAACAACAGGCCTGTTTAGCTACTATTTGAAGTTACAATGTGATTGAAAATGGTCCTCACACCTCTGGCTGTTGCAGTGACCCCATGATCATATGATCAAGATTTGGGCACTTTACAACTAGTGGGCATTTATGAGTGTTGCAGCGTCCTGTGGTCACGTGATCTCTATTTTGCACACTTCACAGCTGGATTCTGACAGCCAAGGTAAATTTGCAAATCACAGTCATGTGATATCTCATTTAACAACTGCATCAGAAGTTAGATGTAGTCAGGTGCTGTCTTGCTTAATGACTGCATCACTTAGCAACAGAATTTCCCATCCTAATTGGGTTCGTTAAGAAAGAACTACAGGTAAGTCTTGTTTAATAATCCTAATTGGGACCAGAATTTCTGTCACTGAGCAAAGCCTTTGTTAGTGTGACTGCAGCACCTAGCTCCGGTACACCTGGTTGTGGTTGTTAGGCTGGGACTGTCTGTCATTAGGTGAGGACTTCAAATTTTTTCCTGCCCTGGCATGCTTGCCTCCACTCCCTCCACTTGCCTAACCCCCCACCCCCCATCTCTGCCCTTTTGGTTGTCCTGCCACCTTGTCCTCTGCCTTGCAGAGTTGCCTTGTCCAAGGCAACAGAGTGAAGTAAAGTGGTCAGAAGGGCAGAAAAGAGGTACAGGATTGGCAGGTAGGAGGAGATGAAGCCCACCGTGCAGTTGTAAATGCAGGCAGACTGCCAAGTGCCTGAATTTTGATCACATGATTGCAGGAGCACTGCAGCTGTCTTAACTACGGTCATAAATATCATTCGTTCAGCACCATTTTACGTCAAATATTCATTGAATGAATAGTTGTTAAGGATTACCTATTCATATAACCAGAATGGTATCAATTCTATTTGTTACTAATGCCAAAAGGAAACATGTACGATTTATTTATTTAGTTAATTTATGTCTGCCCCAATCTAGAGCAACAGTCCCCAGCCTTTCTGGTACCAGGGACTGGTTTCGTGGAAGCCAATTTTTCCACGGACCAAGGAGGGGAGGGGGATGGTTTCATGAGCAACCTAGATCCCCTGCATATGCAGATGAAGCTTTGCTTGCTCGCCAGAGTGCCTGTGTGCCCCAGTTCCTAACAGGCCACGGACTGGTATAAGTCCACAGCCTGGGGGTTGGGTACTCCTCTATTTAGAGGATTCTCAGCAGAGGCTAAATGGGAGAAAGATACTGCTCTACCTGTCTGGGTAAAGCATTGTTTTAACTAATATTGTTTCTTTTAAAATATTGTCTCTGTTGAAACAAGCGGAAATAGCTATCACAGTGTAGGGGATGAGCAGGCAGAGCTGGGGGCAGAGTTAAGCATATCAGTTTAGAATAGAATAGAATAGAATTAAATAGAATAAGAATAAAAATAGAATAGAATAGAATTCTTTATTGGCCAAGTATGATTGGACACACAAGGAATTTGTCTTGGTGCATACGCTCTCAGTGTACATAAAAGAAAAGATACATTCGTCAAGAATCATAACATTTAAAGTCCTTGCTTTCCCACAAGCGGTCTTAAGTCCAACCCCTCTTGAATTCTTTTGACTTTTATCTGGCACCAATTTAAGTGCTGAACTTCAGTTGACCAGATTCTTGTGTAGAGGCTTTAATAAATCTCCTGGGCTGCAGTCTTATGAATGGTCCTGATTTTTTGCGCCTGACACGCAGCTTCAGTCTCGGTTAACTGAGAATTCCTGTTTGGCTCTTCTTTATAGTGGGCACATTTGGTAATTTTACAGAGTTTCCTGTAAAAGGAACTCTGGGTGAACTTGCCAAGCCGTCAGCTGAGCTCCCCCTGAGGGGTGGCACTTCCATCCTTTCTCCTTTTTAGGCTTCAGAGGCTGTTAGCATTGCTTTCAAATTTATGAACAGTTTTATTCTTAGAAATCTTTCTAGAAATGGGGTTCTCAGTTAGTCCTCAAGTTACAAACATAATTGGGGCTCAAATTTCCATTGCTAACCAGGGTGGTTGCTAACTGAGTCGCACCCAATTTCTGACCTTTTTTTTTGCCACAGTTAAGCAAATTACTGCAATTTTTAAGTGAATAACACGCTTGTTAATTGAATCCAGCTTCTCCAATTGACTTTGCTTGTTGGAAGTTATTTGGGACGGTCATAAATGTTGATCATATGAACCCAGGATGCTGCAACCATCATAAATATATGACAGTTGTCAAGCATCTAAATTTTGATTATGTAATTGTGGAGATGCTGCAAGGACCGTTGTAAATCAGTTTTCGATGCCATTGTTACTTCACATGATTGTTAAACAAATGGTTGTAAGTTGAGAAGTACTTGCAAAATCATAATGGAGTTTATTTTGGAGGGAGGGATGGGCATATGAATTCATTGAATCATGATGATTAATCAAACTGTGGCTTAGCCAAATATGCAAAATATGTTGTTTTTAAAATATCCATCTGTTTTATTATACATATTAGAGGTTGAATTTAAATTTGAAAAAAATGAGCTAGGAACTTGGAGAAATACATTATTGGCCAAGGGGCTTCTCCGATGCAGGCAGAAGGTAAAGCTGGGATAACACAACATCTTAGGCCAAAGTGAGCTTTGCCTATTTGGCTTGGCATCTGGTGTGAATCAAACTAATTGCAACGTATTCTTGAAACAATTAGCGATTCAGGTCTAAAGATATTAAGGGGGTGGAATGCATTTGCTGTCTCCCGATTTCCATTTGCCGTTTTCTGATTTTACTCTTTCTCTTCTTTGTCTTGCCTTAAGACTGGTCAATGAGCTCTTATCTGAAGAGCTGAAGCTTATTCATGCGTTCGAGCAGAGAACACTGACTCCTGAACAGTGGGCAAAGGAACAAGAAGCTAAGTGAGACAAGCTTCTTCAGTGACAAAAGCAGCAAATACTACAGAGACCAAAAATTCTAAGATGGTAAAGAGAAGCAGATGTGAATTGAATTTAGCAAGGCGGGAATTGCTTCAGGGGAAGCACTATGACAGTTTGAAAAAGCATGAAGCAGAAAATAAAACTGGAGAAAGGTTGTAAGATAACTATTGGTGTCATCTGTTTATTCCCACACCAAGTATCTTGGAGACCCAATTTAATACTCAGACTTGCTTTGGGTGGGGAAAAGGTAGTCTTGTCCTACTAAGGCAGTGTTTTTGTTTTCAATGTTTAAATTTTGAAAATGAACATTTTTGGAGTTCTTGATACTCTGAATTTGGTTGTTCACTTGCAGGCATTGTATTAGTCAACTACATAACATCATCAGTGTGTAAGATTTGCTGTTCATTTGCAGTAGCTTCCCTGCCTGTTTTGATAGGTGTGTAGTATTTATTCTGGTGATTCTTCGATTAAAGTACAGGTAGTTCTCACTTTGTCATTCAGTGATCATTCAAAGTTATGATGGTGTTGAAAAAACTAACGTTACACACCACTTAAAACGTTCACCATGTCCTTCAGTCATATGATCAACATTACAGTCAATAGTACTGTCCTATGCCAGAGGTCTCAAACTCAAGGCCCGCGGGCCGAAACTGGCCCATGGGGTGCTTAGATCTGGCCCACAAGGCCACCCTGGGAACAGCAAAGGATCAACCCGCGGTGTCTCTGCCAGGAAAAATGGAGCTTGCAAGGGCCCTCCTGAGCTCCATTTTCTCTAGCAGAGAGTTGCAGGAGGCCATCCCAGCTGAAAACGGAGCTTGATCAGAAGCCCGTTTTTGCTGGCAGAGCACGCGGATTGCCACAGGCGCTTCTGACATGAGTGATGTCAAGCTGACCATGCCAACTCTGGCCACGTCCCCCCCCCCACCAGGTCAAACACAATCCTGAAGAGGCCCTCTATGAAATCGAGTGACACTCTGTCCTGTGCCTACCTTTGTTTATTTCTCTCGCTCCCCCACCCCCAATTGCAGAGCAAATCGATTAGATAAAGGGATTGCAAGAAAGTGAAGCTGTTTGTTGTTTCACGGATCAAAAGCAACGCAATTGTACAAATCTCTCCTTTGCCTGATGTTTTCCCACTGTTGATGTGATCACTGTAGTCTCAATGTGTAGAAGAGCAGTTTGTTTTCTTGAAATCCTTCTCCAATTTTCTCTGCTGGGGGTGAAAGATTGGGGATGGGAAGATCAGGCAAAGGGGAGATTGCCTAAAGAAATTGCTTGCTTCCCACACCCATCCCTAACCTTGGAAGAGCAGTGAGATAAAAGAGGAAGAGGGCTCAAGAGTATAATGTAGTGATGGCTAACCTTTTCCGGATTGAGTGCCCAAAACGTGTGCGCCCAAACCCCCCAAATGCAATGTGCGTGGGGCCCCCATGCATGTGCCCTGCCCCCGTGCATGTGCACGCGGGGCCCCCATATGCACCCCGTGCCTGCACAGCAGAGACCCAAAGACCAATTGGCCGGCGGGAGGCACGCACACATGCACAGCAGAGCTGAGCTGGGGCAACGGCTTATGTGCCCACAGAGAGGATGCTATGTGCCACTTCTGGCACACGTGCCATAGGTTCTCCATCACTGGTATAATGTGTCCACTGGGGTCCTAGTGTAGTTGCATTGCTTTCAATGCATGCAAGACAGCAGGCATTTCAAAAAGGTGGGTGTTTAGAAGGCAAAAATGGAAGGTGTGAAACTGATTTTCTAGTGGGAAGGCAGTGGCATTTCACTTAGTGGTGGAGTTGCTTGCCATCCTAAATAGGGTTGTTATGTAAGGACTATCTGTATTTTCTGTCTGATTGTTTGGTGTTGAGTCTTGCTGATCTGAATGTTGGCTGCCAGTGGGGATCAAATGATGCATCAAAAAATGTATCATCTATTCTGATCCAAAAAAACCCCAGCATAACGAGTTCTTGTTGAGAACTATCTGTCTCTGCTTTCCCTTTCTTAAAATGTCCTTTGTAGGAGAACTAGGTTAGTCTGTGGTGGCAAAAACCAGGAGTCTGGTAACAGTTTTTCCAACCAATACATTTTATTAACAAGCATAAGCTTAATAGGCACTGACATCAGAACTCAAAATAAGGACAAAGTAATACCAAGGATTCGGCCTGTCAGGACATCATGAGAGATCTCAAAATGTATATTTTTAAAAAACAAACCAGGATTTTTATCAGCACTATTCAATGAGAAATTCTAAAGCATTCAGGCAATCTCAGGTTTCAGCAATAGATTTTTAACATATTAGAATTATTAACTGATAGCCTCTCATTATCACCTATATTTGCATAACCAACTTGATTTTTCTACCCTTCTTCCTCTATCCCCCTCCAATTTAAATGAGTAACACTCTATACATCTTACGAAGTGAGCTGCAGCTCACCAAAACTTTGTCTTTTAATAAAACATGGTTACCTGGAAAAGGTTCTTCCAGGCTCCTCCCAATGTTAAAAAGTCTTATGTGGGAGATGAAAACTCTGCTCCTTACTCTAATTTCATTTTAGAGAAAAAAAAGCCACTACTGACCATTGATCAACTATTCAAATTGGCCCCCATACTTAATCAAGGTGATCTAGATTAAAAGGATCATGGGTTAATTAGTTAATTTAATTAATTCTATTACATTTAAAGAATTGGCTACAAATCATTGGTGAATACATGGGTGGGGGGAAAAAAGACCGTTCCATGGAAGATAAAGTGATCCAAGTGGGTCAGGATTTTAATAGCTCTGTTAGGCCTAGGGAGCCTCTCAATATCAGACATGGGCAGGAGAACTGCTTCCTTCCTTTCCCTTTGGCATCAACAAAATGCTGGAGTAGATTATTAAATTCTTTGCAGAAGTCAATTTGCTAAAAGGTGACAGCATTTTTCACACGTTAGTTAATGACCAACTAATTAAAATTCATACCTGTCAATCCAAATGCTTAATTGATCAGTTAAATATTGTAGCCCTATTAAAACAAGAGAACCACCCCCACACCATGTCCTCAAAAGCAAAATCTTAAGTAAGGGGATATGCAGCATTTTTTAAAAAAAATCCAGAAGAAAAAAATTTTGTTTTCTACCGGAAAGGAAAAGCAGAGCAGAAAGCAAAGATCCAGAATTGAAGGCCTGTGTGATACAACCCTGCAGGTTGTAAATAAGTGGGTATCATCCTGAATGCCTTCACCAAAGCTAAGCGAAGAAGTATATTTCGTATCTTTTCAGGTGGAGTCTGTTACCCCCGAAAAGGGGCTCTGTCTGGAATAGACAAACTGAGTTTCTGCCCTGAGCTTAGGGTGGATGAATCTTAATAATGCCCTGAGGATCCACCCATTTAAAAAAAAAAAATCAAAGGGGCTTTAAAAGGCCAGTGAAAGATAATCCATTGTGACCAGTGGTAATATTCAATTTTTTTTACTACTGGTTCTGTGGGTGTGACTTGGTGGGGGATCATGGGGCAGCACCTTGGTGTGAGTGACATCAAGTTGGCCATGCCCACTAAGTCACATGACCCCACCACCACCAAGCCACACCCACAGAACCGGCAGAAAAGTTCAGCTGAGTCTTCTAGCGTTCAACCTGGCTGTTTCTCTCCTCCTTCTCAGCCTCATACAAACAGAGCAAACAGGCAAACATCTCACAGCGCCAGAGGGACTCGCAGAAGGTCCCAGCGCCGTGAGAGGAGGAGAAGACTTGGCTGAACTTTTTTGCCTTGGTTCGCAGCGGAGCTGCTCAGAAGGCAGCTCCTGTGGCCTGTCCCTTTATGGTCAACCCTTCCCCCCCACATCGAAGTACCTTAACAGACTGCAGCAGCTGACTTCTGAGCAGCTCTGCTGAGACACTGTCCCTCCAGTGCAGCACGCCATTCTCTTCTGGGTCGCCGCAAGCGGCACCGGCAGGCAATGGGGTTGCCTGCCTGCATGTGTGCAGCTGACGCAAAGAACATGATGGAGGCAACAGTCACTGGACTTCACTTCAGGCCTCTCTTTCAGCCGGTAGTTTTTAGCACAAGAAGCCTCCAGCCGCCATCTCTTTGCCAGCGGGAACCGAGCCAGCAGCAGCGGCTGCAGGCTTCTTGTGCCAAAAACTACCGGCCAAAAGAGGCCTGAAGTGAAGTCCCACCGTTGCCACCCTGTTCTTTGCGCCGGCCGCGCACCCCATTGCCTACCGGTGCTGCTTGCAGCCAGACCTGGCCAGGAAAACGGCCTGCTGCGCCGGAGGGACGGCATCGCAGCAGAGCTGCTCGGAAGGCAGCCGAAAACTACCAGTGGCTGGAGGCTTCTGGAGGCGGTCCTTCGGAACAGAAAGTGAGCAAGGCAGAGGGTGAGCAGGCGGCATGCAGGCAGAGGCCTGGGGCAAGGCCGGAGCTGGGGAATGGTGAGTTCCCTGACCTGGCCAAGGTGAGCGGCGAGCGGGCAGAGAGTCCAGGGCCAGGCTGGAGCCAAGGAATGGCGTGTTCCCCCGCCAAGGTGAGCGGGCAGAGGCTCCTGGGAGAGCTAGGGGATGGTGGGGCAGCCATGGCAAGCTCTGGGTACGGGCAGGGGGGTGGCTAGCGCGACTCGCAGGCTTACCTGTAGGCAGGAGGAGGCAGATCAGGGCCGCTCAGTTGGGGCGCAGCAGGCACGCACCACGTGGGAAGGCAGTTTAGGCAGGCAACTTAGAGCAGAGACTACGCATGCGCAAGCGAGGACCCACACAATGAGGAGTGGCAGGGCAGGGCAAGCGGGTGGGGCAAGCAGCGGGCGGGGTGAGGAGCGGGCGAGCGGCAACCAGGCAGGCGGGGGGCCAGCCAGAGGTGGTATTTGCCGGTTCAGTGAACCAGTTACAATTTCCGCTACCAGTTCACCTGAACCGGTCTGAACCGGCTGAATATCACCTCTGATTGTGACTCATGAAGTACCAGACCGGGAAGAGAGGGAGAAACTATTCCTTCACAATCCTTTCCAGCTCCAAGATGCGTCGCTCCTGTTCCGACACAGAAATTTGCAGTCGTTTCAGGTCCTCTGAGAACTGTTCTAAAGTTGGACCCTAAAGGACACATTATGTAATTAACTTTATTATGATTACTGATAGACTTGAAGAGCAGATTTTATTCAGAAAAAGTATGTGCTATCGCTCCCTTAATTTACAACTTTGACTCAAAGCATTTACTTGTCATTGTTCTAAAATTTCCCCACCAACCCTATGCAAATCGTTGCTCCGGCATAATATCACCTTAAAAAACTTGGGATTGCAGGGTACATAACTAGAACATCACCCTATCCCTACCATTAGTAGAGAATAGGGATCATTTCAAAATTCTGGAAATTGGGCCGGATTCTCCCATTTATAAGACTTTAAGGGGCAAAGACTAAAAAGCTGGGCTGTTCCAGTAATGTCAGGTCATCAGGTATACTCCCCCAAAGCCTTGAAGGACCACAAAAGGCAGATAAGTCTCTCATGGTTAAAGACACGCCCTCCCCTCCCTCCACAAAGGTGTAGAGAACATTGGGTGGTATTCCAGGAGAAGGTGAGGACCATGAAGGTCAATGGCTTGTCAAGGCCAATCCTAGACCAAATAGCCCAGAAGACCTAGACCTTTGGGTCTTCTCCGCCTTACCCCTTGCTGTGTCCTTTCGTGTGGAAGACTTCTCTTGGGCCCCTGCAGGAGAGTCTGGTTGACTTTGAACTCTCGGCTCTTCTGGGGAATGTAGCCATCCTTGAGGGAAAGGAGGATGGGGCTTGCGTTCTTGCCTGCTAGCCATTCCTCTGAGGTCAAGGCAGGATCTGGACCAGCTGTGTCAGGATACAGGTCCTCTTGGAACAGGTCTGACTGCAGAAACCGTACAAAAACACAGGCTCAGCCCTACAGCAAGGAAAATCCTCTTCTATCCAGATTTAAAAACATAAGTTCGGCTTCTCACCACACATCCCAAATGTTAGCATTCTATTCAGGGCAAGCTTTTGTCCAGGTAGTCCTCGACTTATGACCACAGTTGAGCCCAAAATTACCATTGCTAAGCAGAGCAGTTGTTAAGTGAGTCTTTCCCCCCTCCCATTTTACAACCTTTCCTGTCAGAGTTGTTAAATGAATCGCTGTAGTTGTTAAGTTAGTAACACACTTGTTAAGTGAAGCTGGCTTCCCCAATGACTTTGCATGGCGATCACATGATCCCGGGACAATAAATAAATATGTCATAAATATGAATCAGTTGCAAAGCTTCTGAATTTTGACCACGTGACCCACCGAGGTGGGTGGGTTGATGCAACAATCCTAAGTGTGAAAAATGGCCATAGGTCACTTTTTTCAGTTGTGTTGTAACTTCGAACAATCACTAAACAAACTGTTACAGGTTGAGAACCACTTGTATAGCCACCGGGAGCCAAATCCAGCCTGTCAGCTGATTAAACAATTGCCCAAAAGATTGTGAAGATACAGAAAGGAAAGCTGCTTGTTCAGTGGGCAAATGGCTACTGCTATCTCAAGAAATTGGGAAGGTGGCTTTGCAACTTTTATTCCGGGATAAAAGTTACATGCATTGAACCAAGACTCTGATAATTTTGGAACAGATGAGCTTCCTCAGTGAATTGGTGCATTTACCATGTTTCTGTAAGGAGTACAGATTTGAGCGAACCACAAGCTATTTAAAAAGATTTAAGTCACTGGATCAAAAGCAGGAGGAAAGCACACTGGATCAACCCAAAAGATCCAGAGATAGATTAGATGCCAGCAGAGGCTCTCAAGAGCTATATTGTCCCAGAAACAAGAAGTCCTCTTTACTACGATGATGACTAATAAACTGGCTGCCTAGAAGGTTATTGGACCTGAAATTCAACATATTTGAAAGGTATCGGATTGGGAAAAATTAGTGGTGATTCATTCCCCATCTTATGATTACAAAATTCCTAAATCAAGAATATATACACTTCATAAATTAAGTGCTCCTTTTACTGCAATGGCTGGATTCACACAAAGCCATATACCATGGATTGTATGTTTGCTGAGTTTGAGCTTAGTACATTGTATGAACAGTTCTGTTTTGTAAACTGATTTATTCCATCAACGTTAGTTTCACATTAAGTGTGCACCCAGCCATTCTCATTTGCTCAACCAACCCTCATTAACAAAGCCACGACTTGGCATGACATGCGAACCTATTCTATTGCACTCTTCCAGGTAAATCAAGGAATTCTGCCTCTCGGTTGCCAGCCTTACTGCTGTCTCATTAAGTTTCCCAGCTTTACCTAGATCCCCTTTCTTCCTCCACAATTATATTGAGACCAGGTAATTTTATACAGGTAATCCTTGACTTACAACCTGTCGCTTAGCAACCATTCAAAATTACAGTAGACCCTGAAAAAGCCATGTACGATCCAGATGCAAAGTTCTAATTTCCTTTCACACACACACACACACACACACACACACACACACACACACAATCATGTAACAACATTTTTTTTAAATTTTAATTTATATGCCGCCCTTCTCCAGAGACTCAGGGCGGTTTACAATGCGTTAAGCAATAACCTTCATACTTTTGTATATTTATACGAAGTCAGCTTATTGCCCCCACAACTGGGTCCTCAATTTACCTACCTTAGAAAGGATGGAAGGCTGAGTCAACCTTGAGCCTGATGAGAATTGAACTCGCACTAATTGCAGGCAGCTGGATGTTAAATGCTGCCTTAGGAGGCATTAGCCTCCTATGCCACTAAGGCTCAGTGGGCCACATTTACATCAGTTTGCAATAGCCTGTAGTCACATGACCATGATCTACAATGTTTTTCGAATGAAGGCATTATAAGGGACAACTGTTCTCTAGCAGAGCTCATGCTTCGCATAACAGGTAAGGCTTCTACCTGAAACTCTGGAGAGCTATAGAGCAGCACTGACCAACCTGTGGCCCTCAGCCTAATTTAAAAAGCAATCAGTTCATCCTCTTGGCAAGCTGCTGGACAGGGTAAGAAGAGAAAAGGAGGTTGGTCCAGTGGCGAAATGTAAAATTTGTTACTACCGGTTCTGTGGGTGTGGCTTGGTCGTGGTGGGGTAATATGACTGGGCATGGCCAACTTTTTTTTTTTTTACTTTTAAAACCATTTTTTCTACCACCTCTTCAGCTGAAGAGGTTGTAAAAAAAAATGCTTTTAAAAGCCTCTGACGATCCCAGCTGAGCCGCGCGATCATCAGAGGCTTTTTTTTTTTACTTTTAAAAGCATTTTTTCGACCAAAGAGGTTGTAGAAAAAATGCTTTTAAAAATAAAAAAAAGCCTCTGATGATTACGTGGCTCAGCTGGGCAATGGGGTGGGGGGGGCAGGGATTTTTGCTACCAGTTCTCTGAACCACCCGCCTCCATCGCTACCTGATCGGGCGATCCGGTCCGAACCGGGAGCATTTCACCCCTGGGTTGGTCCCTGCCCGTATACAATTCCCCCAGGAATTATCCACAACCTTGGCAACCCTGAAGCAGATGACGCCCACCTAAAAGGATGAATGGTGCCAATGCAGCTTCCTAGAGAGATGGTTTCTTAGGCTCAAAGAGAAACCAGTCTCAGCCCTTTCCTTCCCTGATATGAACTTATTTTTCAGTTGTTCTCCCAATGCCTTTTCCTACTGATTGTAAAAGGTCGGTCCACTCTTACCTTCCGGGGCACCGTCATAGCAATGGGCTCACATTTCCTCTCGTGTAATTTGTAAAATCTAGAAGGAATAAAAAAACGATTCAAGGAAGGAGAAAGAAAGTCTTTGGAAGGGTCTCCCCTAAGACAAAAAAGTCCAGGCATTATTTTTGATTGGCCCAAGAAATCTGAGTGATGGATTACAACAGAATATACCCGTATTTTTCAGACTATAAGACGCACCGGTGTATAAGATGCACCAAGATTTTGAAGAGGTAAGCAAGGAAAAAAAAGTTTTTGCCCTCCCCAGCCCACAGGAGCACTCTGAGGCCTCCCAAAGCCTCTGCCTGCCCTGTTTTTGCGAAAAATGAGCCCGTTTTTCCACAAAAACGGGATGCACAGGGCAGGGCTTCGGCAGGCAAAAAATGGCTGTATTCAGTGTATAAGACACACCAACGTTTCTACCCTCTTTTGGGTGGGGAGGGGGAGTGCATCTTATACTCTGAAAAGTACGGTAAGTGTCAGGTTTCTATTCAGGGATGAACCTTGCAGAGATTTTGTACCCTTGCTATTTGTCATCTTCACCTGACACCAGTGTTGGGGAGGGGGTGTAAATAGGGTGGGAGACCAGTTAACATCCCTGTGAACCTCTTGCAGGAATTTGGGGAGAAAAACACACATTCTCTACCTGGCAATCTCGCACTTGCTGACATCCAGCCCTCGTTTGGGCATCCATCCCCCTCCTCGCTGTGACTCCTTGGAAGTAAACATGGATAAATAGTGCACGTAGGGCGCTTCGCCAGTCAGCTCGAAATACCGGATGCTGCTGTCACCCTGCAGTGGATGTTGAGGTATTTGAATTTCTCCTTATTAAAGGACTTCTCACGTGAACCCCCGCTGAGTTCATCCAAAATGTTCCTTCTATATTTGCAATTGCCAGTCTTTTCCCTGCACCCAGGACTCACCTTGCCAGTCAGGTAAACCACGTTGGTATCTGGGTCATAATAAGGCAAGAGCACACCACTGCTTGTATCTAGTTCCTGAAGAGTCAATGGTTCCTCAGGATTTCTCTATAGAGGAAAGAAAGAAAAAAAAGAGAGGTGGGGAAGAGAAGAAAAGAAAGAAGAAAGAAAGGATAAAAGAAGGAAGGAAGAAAGAAAGGAAAGAAGGAAGGAAGGATTTTAGAAAGACATTTGTAGTGTTAGTCTGGAATAAAAGCCTTGAAAATTCAGAATAAATTCCTAGCCAGAGTTACACTGAGTTAATTAAGACAAAATCTCTTTGAAACATTTGCTTGCTTGCTTCTTACATCCGAGCTCTGTTGCCTCGTCTCATCCAAACTGCACTCCTCCATTTCCTTCCCAGTTCCTCACAGACGCTCACACTTTAGCCATAGTTCTACTTGAAACTAACGAAATGTTTGCAAGAAAACAAGCAAGCTCAGAGAGCACCAAGGACAGCTCATGGCAACCCTGAGCTATAAATATTCTCCCTTATTGATAGTTCTACTTGCAGAAAAAGCATGAAGTTCTTACAAAACATACTTGTGGGTTTCTGCGGTCTAAAGAACAATGGAAAGAGCCAGTGTGGTGTAGTGGTTTTAAGGCACCAGGCTAGAAACTGAGAGATCATGAGTTCTAGTCCCGCCTTGGCAGTGGTGGGTTGCCCCTGGTTCAGACCGGTTTGTAAGAACCCATAATAAAAATGGCAGGAGGCTCCACCCACTGACCCGAACATCATCATAGGTGATCTGCGCATGTGCAGAAGCTTCTGCACATGCGCAGAATGGCGCAGGCACGATGCGAACCGGTAGTAAAGGTAAGTAGAACCAACGCCTTGAGCAGTTGACCTTGCCAAGAAAACTGAGGGACTTGTCTAGCCAGTCACCAGGATTCAAGACTGACTTAAAGGTACTCACCCCCCCAAAAAGAACAATTATCCAGACTTCTGAGCAAGAACCTCTTGTTCTCTGGGCAGAATTTCAACCTGCCCCTCCATCAATAACAAGGCATCATAACTGATCTGTTTTATAGGGTTGTTATTAAAGCCTTTGGTAGTAAGTGAAGCATGTTAAGCATTCAAAATCCTATACAAAATACAGAAGATCCCTACAACACCAGAGTGAATTTTCTCTTGCAATGTCCTTGGGTCTACATTCTATTCTTTAAGAAATTGTTTGTTGTAGAAGAATTACAATATGCACAAAGGAGAGGATTTTGATGTTGAAATGGGCTTTCCTGCAATTTTCTTCCTCAGCGCAAGGCTTTGGCAATATCCATGCTCTTATTTTTCCTCACTGGCCTTATTTGAACGGTAAGGGCCGCCCACTTTTCAAATCACTTGAACAACGGGTGGCCACTAACATTCAAATCTTTGGAAGGCGTTGCTCAACTGCCACCTGTAAAGGTGTCCTCCACTCTCTCTGCTCACCAAATCCCAGAGGGCCACCTGTCGCTCGCTCATGCGGCTGAAACCTGTTGTAAAAAGCTTCCCATCCTTCACAGTCGTGACCCGAACAGGACGAGATCCCTCGTGGGCACGGGGCAATTCCTGAGGGTGAGAAAATGAGACAAAATGAGACTTTCAAGAGCAGAGGGACTGTTTATCACATCTGAATGATGAAGTCTCGCCCACTTCTGGACAGTGAGAAATCATCCCGTTTTGTTGGGTCATTTTCCAGCCTTCTCTCCCAGCACAAAATATGTCATTTGCCCAAATCAATATTGAGTGGGGAGTGGAATTCTGTCTGAACAAAAAGAAACATTTCTCCATGATAAATCAATCTGGAAGACATGAGGATGCCCACTAGTGGAAATGGCCTTTAAAAGCAGGCATGCAAGTGACAAGAAATACATGTAGTCCTCAACTTACAACTATTCTTTTAGTGACTGTTCAAAGTTACAACAGCATTGAAAAAGGTGACTTATGACTGTTTTTTACACTTACAACTGTTGTGGCATTCTCATGGTCACATGATCAAATTTTGGATACTTGGCAACTGGTTCATATTTATTTATGGTTGCAGTGTCCTGGGGTCATGCGATCATGTTTTGTGACCTTTTGACAAGCAATGTCAATGGAGAAGCCAGATTTACTTAACAACTCTGTTACAGGTAGTCCTCCACTTACGAAAGTTCATTTAGTGACCGTTCAAAGTTACAACAGCACTGAAAAAAGGGACTTATGACAATTAGTCACATTTATTATCATTATAGCATCCCCATAGTCACATGATTTACATTCAGAGGCTTGATAACTGACTCACATTTATGACGGTTGCAGTGTCCCAGAGTCATGTAATTATCTTTGGTGGCCTTTTGACAAGTCAAATCAAAGGGGGAAACCAAATTCACTTAATAACCATGTTACTAATTTAACAACTGCAGTGATTCACTTAACAAATGTGATAAGAGAAATCGTAAAATGGGGCAAAACTCACTTAACATATTTCTCACTTAACAACATAAATTTTGAGCTCAATTGTGGTCATACGTTGAGGACTACCTGTATTAAGTTAACAACTGTAGTGATTCACTTAACAACTGTGGCAAGGAAATGGAGTAAAATTCACTTAACAACTAGTTTAGCAACAGAAATCGTAAGTCAAGGACTACCATTAGGAATAATTTACCATGGCATGTAAGAAATACAAAAACCTATGGTGGTACAGGTTGCTCTCAACTTACAATTGTTTAATGACAGTTTGAAATTATGATGGCCATGGAGAAAGTGACTTGTGGCTCATCCTCAAAGTTATGACTGTTGTACCCCATCCTATGCAATCATGGGATTGCAATTTGGGGCTTGGCAACCAGCTTGCATTTACAACGGCTGCAGTGTCTTGCTCTCATATGATTGCAATTTGCAATCTTCCCAGTCGGCTTCTGAAAAGCAAAGTCAATTGGGGAAGCAGGATTCACTTAAAGACCGCATGATTTGTTTAACAACCACGAGTTGCTTAACAATCATGATAAAAATGGTAGCAAAAATGGATCCAGTCATGTGACGACTTGCTTAATGGCTGCATTGCTTAGCAAACATAATGTGCAAATGTTGTAAGTCAAGGTCTATCTATAGAGACTGTTTCTATTAAGGCCTTCACATAAATCCAGGGGTGAGCTTCAAAGATTTTAGTAAGGGGTTCTCTGCCCAGTTGCTGGGTGAGCGTGGCCATGGTGGCATGGCCTAGTCTGCCTCCTGCACCAAAGAGGGGGGGGCAGTTTTGCCCTCCCCGGGCTCTGGAGGCTTTCCCCGAGCCTCTAGGAGGGCGAAAACAGCCTCCCGAGGCTACAGAGGCCCTCTGAACAAACCTATTTCTGCCCTTCCCAAACTTCCGGTAGGCCCGTTTTTCACCCTCCCCGAGCCTCCATGTGCGTCCTGCACTTACCTGCATCCAAAATGGGCCGGGTGGGGACTCCTGGGAGGGGCGGAGTGGGGTGGGCGGGCCAGCCAGGAGTGAGAGTGAAGAGGGATTTGGGGGTTCTCCGAACTGCACAGAATCTTAGCTAGAGGTTTTCCCGAACCCCTGTGAACCCCCAGCAGCCCACCCCTGCATAAACCATTCCAAAGTCAACCTCTATCCCATTGAATTTTCAGATTTTGCATCAGTCAACGAGCATTCTGTGATTACCCAGCCTGTTCTATCCTCCCTAGCTTGTTATGGGGCTGCCTCTCTCTTTTTCTCTACAGATGTTCTGAGATTTTCTCATGAATGCTTTGGTTAAATGAGGACCAAAAGACTGAGATCATAGTATGGATAAATGCTAACAAGGAAGTCTCCAGAGTCAAAGCAGCATGCTTGGGAATTTGAAGGTACAAAAATCAAGGAATACCGTAAGTGATGGCAACGTTTCTGCAACCTTCTGACTATATACTTTGAAATATAAATCACTGAATTAATTCATGGCTGACTGGATACTTGGCTCTCCACATTGCTGATCTTCAATACCTATTAGCCAACACAGCCAAAAGTAAACAACATTAGAAGAACAGCAGACACTCCCTTTTGGGGACCAGACAAATTTGCTAACACAGGCAATTATCGATCTAATTTGCATTTGCTCCTTCTGGACCTGCCAGTTTTAGACTTTCTGGAGTGTGAAAGTTTTTCCTACATTTGCAGCGGTGCCCCCTGCCCGGGGGTCGAAAAGCCGCACATGCTTATCCCGGCAGGCCGTGCAGAGCAAAGAGCCGTCCTGGTTCCAAGCTGCACTATAGATGACATCTGGGTGCAACTCATCCAAGGAAATGGCCGCTTGTCCAACACTCACATCCCAGACTTTTACAACATTGTCGCAGCCTGTAGCAGACGGGAAGAAGACAAGACTCATGAACAGGAAGGTGGCCGATTGCAGTTGTTGCCCTGGGTCCATCTTTGGGCCTGATTTTCCTTACCTGCACTCAGTAGGAGGTTCTGGGCTGTTGGATGCCATGTTACAATCCCCACCCTTTTAGAGTGGCCTTCAAGAGTCACCACAGGTTCATTCAAAGATCTTGTAAGACCACCTTCAGGCACCGACCAGACCTAAAAACATGCAAGACAAGAAGTAAATAAGATTATCAGAGAACTGGAAAGAAAACTTTGCCAGAAAGATTCTGTTGCCTCATGTCTGCCTGCCTACCTGACTGTCTGTGTGATCAAGACCTAAAAGCGACCCAGACAAGAGTGGGCATATCTTTAATATTTTGGAGGTCATCTAGTTCGATGCCTTGAAATGTTGCAGAGAACAGATTGCATGCAAGTGACTCTGGAGTACAGGAGGCAAACTGTGAGGCATATTGCTTGCAGATGGTAAAAGATAACCTTGTTTGTCTGCCATCCAAATTCCCCATTCGGATAAAATTTCCCTTCATTTGATACTTCTTTAAGTATCCTTGTCTATATGTCATTTATTTTTTCCCACAAGTCATTGCTCTTTGCCCTCTCAGACTCTTCTTTATCTCCCAGAATGGGATGTTCAGCTTGTCATTTCTGTTTTCTTCCATTTTTTTGCTCACTCCTGATTTTTCTGAGGGAAAACAATTCCAGCAAGAATTGTTATCTACCAGTTGTAAGCTGGTGGGGGGCTGGGGGTGGTGGTGGAGCAGTGGTGGGTTGCTCCCGGTTCTTGAGAACTGGTAGTAAAATTGGTGGGAGGCTCCACCCATCTGCCCTGACGTCATATTTGGATATCTGCGCATGCGCAGATCCCGTTGCGAACCAGCAGTAAAGGTAAGTAGAACCCATCCCTGCGTGGGAGTATGATGGGGAGCTACTACTGAAAGAAACAAGACAGCAGGTTGGATGAGGGCTAATGTTCTCCAGATGCATTGGAACACAACTAATAAGCCCTAGTCAAAAGACTGGTGGCCCAGGATGACAAGAGTTTAGTCCAGTGGTGGGATTCAGCCAGTTCGCACCACTTCAGGAGAACTGGTTGTTAATTTTCTGAGCAGTTCGGCGAACTAGTTGTTGGAAGAAATCATTAGGGCAGAGAACTGGTTGTTAAATTACTTGAATCCCACCACTGGTTTAGTCCCAAATCCTAGAGAGGTTTGGAAAGCTTACTGCTACTTTAAAAAAAATCTGTGCACAAAAAAAAATGTTCTTGTAAGCAAGAAGGCAAGGTTGTGATCAGTGATGTCCTCAGGAACATAAAGTGCCTCTGGCTTTGTGGCGTCCGGGCAAACTGCTCCCTGGTGCTCTGAACCCAGTCCCTCCCCTCTCCTTCTTCCTTTTATTAATCTGACCACTTACCATAACAGAGCAGTCCTCGGATGCACTGGCAATAACATGGTCATTGTGGGGGCACCACTCTACATCTAACACAGGAGCTGTGTGCCCTGAGACCACAGGGTGGGCCTTATCCAGGCGACCAGTCTGCAAAAATAGGAAGATAGAGAGAATGTTAGTTCTGATGCATCAGAGGTTTATTTCAAATGGCAACTCTTACTTCCCATTGTTTGTGCTGTTTTATTGTATTCCATAAAACAGACATTTTACTTTGAGAACATGGCCCATAAGAAGCCATATGATGAGAACCAGGAGATCCAATTATTCCTGGGCTCAATGAATCAGTGTAGGTGATCAGTGTAGAGTGAGCAATAGGCTGACCACATTCATTTCCCCCCAACCTTCTTGAATCAACATCCAGAATTGGAAGAATGCCTTCAGAGTTTTAAGGCCTATCACAGGTACAAGTTGACCGGCATCATCCTGTCCCAATCTCCTTAATCTTCACTGCCTCTACCAACAGATGAGAGATAGAAAAGGTAGCTTCACACAAAACCCCCAAAAACCTGGTTTCTAAAACAAAACACAAGAGAGGCATTATTCAGATCAATCACTCTGAAATAGGTCTGTCTTCAGAATTTGAGCGTGCTAAGGTCAGCATGAATCAAGTACATGGTGGCCTAGCAGTTAAGATTCTGGATTTGTTGACCGGAAATTTGGCAAATTGGGATCCAAGCACCACATGACAGGGTGAGCTCCTGTTCTTGACCCGGCTCTTGCCTACCTAGCAGTTTGAAAGCATGCAAATGAAAGTAGATAAATAGGTTCCACCAGTGGGAAGATAATAGCATTCCATGAGCCTCAGTGTATAGTCATGCCAGCCACATGACCATGGAGGCTTAACCATGTTGCTGCTCAATAATTTATTAACAGGAAGAGAAATTCTCATTAAATGTTAAAAGTTTAAAACAGAAAAATAATGCAGCAGACTCATTGCTAGACCAAACTTTTAGCATCCATAGATACTAGGCATCTGGATTTTTTGCACCCTCCTCTTTTACTTCCAGTTATAACTGCTAAGATCCTTCCATCTCTTTCTTAATTTTTTCCCCACCCACCCCTCTTTCCTTCTTTAATTAGCTCTTTCTCAGGCACGTGTTTATAGATCTCTGTTTCCACAGTGCCGTCTAACCCACCCCCTTCCCAGAATCCCACATCTTTCTGCATTCAGGGAAAATAACAATAGAGTTGCTAAATTTTCACCAAGGCACTGTTTCTGTGCCTTTAGCTGGATCCACAGACATTACCGTTGTCCCTATTTTTATCTATTCAGTTTATACGACACTTAACATGCTGAATCATTTTCATAGCAAATCACAACTTTTCACTTGTGAAAATGTTCTGTTAACATCAATCTCTGTTAAGAGAGTTGGAAGCAGGACTCACTGCTGCGGGGAGGGGGGTTATTTTTTTTTAAAGTTTTCTTTTACTTCTTATTTTAATCAGTTGGCAAAGCCCTTAAAGCACCTGGGGCAACAGACTTGAGAAACTGGCAACCATTTGCTATCCTTTCAGCCATTCCCACAATTTGAATTTTAAGATTTTCATTCCCCCATTCCCTCTCCTTCTGTGACCTTCCCATCCATTGCCTCCAAGAAGCAAGAGCTGATCGGGCTGGAATTCGCAACCTGGAATCCAGGAAAAACATTAAGCCAATGGGTTGAATCTACTGCTACTTATCCAAATGGGAAAAGAATGGAGATCTTATGGCCACCAGCCTGGTTTACATTTCCCACACTGTTTATTGCTTGCTATCCCTGAATCTTCTCCATGTCATGCTGAAGTCATGAGATACATCCTAGGGGCAAGCACAAGATCCTCGCCAAGGAAGTCTGGAAAAGCAATCCACTGTCTTGACCTACATCTAAACTTTGATTTTGAAAGGGGAAAAATGTAACGGCTAAAGTAATTCATAAGAACAGTAGTCATCAAATTTGAAGGAAATTTTATGTAGCTACTGTGGCCTCCCAAGGAGACGCTTAAAACATAGAACTCGGCTGTGGGAAAGAGAAGTTACATGTTACAGAAAGCAGGAGAGGAAGCCAATCCCCTGCTACCAAATATAAAGCTCAGATTGACAGAGGATGGAGGCTTTGAGGAACCAACTTGCAAGCTTTCATTTTCGAATGGGTTAAACCACAGGGATGAGAACCAGGACTGCTGAGTTTGGGGATCAACAATTGAAGAAATGGAGTTTAGTGTGAAGCTAGAATCACCACGAGAAAGCACAGAGGAGAACTTTAATTATTGCCAACCGATGTCAGTTCTTTTTCCTCCTGCTGCCACCAAAGCCACTTCCTCTTCTTCATTTTTTTTCTTTATTTTTTTTTTTTCATCTTATTTCCGTAACAGGTCCTAACCATTTAAGGTAAAAAGAAATCAGCAGTTCCACCAATCCCTGCCCCCTCCTTGCATGCTGTGCAAGTCCCCAGAAAACCACAAAAAAGCAGAGGAAGGGTAAGAAGACAGAAGTTAGATTTGCCGTTTTCTATGGGATTCCTTGGCAAGACACTGCCTTGAGCGCTGCTGGGAAGAAGACCTAGGATAAACCAGAAAAGCGTTGAAAGAGGCCTCAAAGCGGGGGGGGTGTTTTACTAATGTGGGGGTGGGCACCTTGGACAATGGCAGGACCAGGAAGGCTCCTCCACCACTGGCCTCCACGACGATGGCTAAGAACTGGGGGTTGACAGAGCAAAAGTTTCCATCCCATGTCATTTGAGAAACACGGATGTCATCATAGCATTGGTCAGCCTTCACTGGTTGCCCGTAGACATGGCGGAACTTACTGGACCTCACAACTTTGCGGCTCATGATTCCTGCAAAACAGCACATCGTTAACACCATACAGTCATCACTAGGAGCATGCAACCACCCTACCACTAGCACCATTTCCTTCTTGAAACCTTGAACCCATGTGAGTCGATGATGGCCCTGAGCCCCATTTCACCACCTGCCAACCACGCTAAGGCCTCTCCATCTCGGCCCAGCACCAATCCCACACAGAAGAACCAACTGGGATCGAGAAGATTTGATTAAATTTGCAGCTTCTAAGGCCATACAGCTGCAGAAGACCATTGTGCAAACCTCACCTCCTGCCTGAGCAGACCTTCCAAGGCCCAAATGCTTCCCACAGAATAGGAGAGTTCTTCAGAATACAGTAAAGCTGAGGAAAGTGCTGTGTTCAAGTCTTAGGCCGGCCAACCACCCAAAGATCCCAGAAAATGAATATGCAGCCTGGTCGTTTATTCACAAATTAGCTCTACCAGATCTATTTATTAATTATAAATAAATAAATAACACAGATGCAACCCTTAAATCCACACATTTTCTTCAATGGAGCTCAGGATATATGCATAATTTATATTATTTTCACAACCACCCTAAGAAGTAAACCGGCTTGAGGAATAAACATTTCCAAAAGACCAGCTAGTTGGCTTCACCATTGGGGAAAATGACTGCAGATCTCTTTGGCTAAACCCAGCCTTTATTTCATCATTCTCTGAGGACTTCCACGTGCTGGACTATAACCCCCATCATTCCCAGCAAGGACAGCTGGACATCAGGAGGGAGAAAGGTACTCTCTTGAATATGACATCTAGATGAAATGATGAAACGGCATCCACTTCCAAGGCTGCTGGCTAATGTGGGTGGGAAAGAAAATGCCTTCCCAATTCTAAATGAGACAAAGCGCCAATTAAATCGGAGAGGAAGGGCTTCTGCTGTCTGAACTCTAATACAGAAGTGTGCTCCCCTGTGACCTACCTCACAGGGCTCTGTGCTTTGCCCATCGAAGTTCTAAAGCCAAGATAAAATCAACAGCGCAAGATTCTCCTTGCAACCCATTGCTCTCTCAGCAAGAGCCCCATCCACAACACAGAAACACACTCTAATCCTTCTGGTTACACACACACACGCGTGCGCGCACACACACACACACACACCCTGTGCACTCACCTGCACCTTCCGTAGCTGATGTGCCACACAATGCATTAGGAATAGAGCGCTCAGGCTTTTTAAAAGCCATCGCCCAGGAACAGCACTGGGAGGGCTATCTCTTAAAGGGCCAGCACACAGAAAGCTTACCACCTCTGCTTGTCATACTTTTTCTCACTTCCTCTCTTCCTCCCCCCACCCCTCTTTTCTTTAGCATCCTTTAACCTGATGATGGCACAGAATTGCTGCTTTATTTGCACAAAATACTGTACAGGCATGCGAGATGAGAGGGGAAATGACTGCCTGTTAAGAAGAATTATGTACAGGTTTCATCTGGATAGTTCCAAACTGTGAAGATCCTTTCTTTCCTGCTTGAAGAAGAGCCTTGCAGAGCCCAGAGGTTTTCTAACTAGCTACGTAAAAATCTCATGGTGTTCCATTTTATTTCTGTATCTATTGTAGCGTGAAGCTCTGCTTCAAATATTTACTTCTCTTCCTCCCTGATAAGCAGGGCCACAGAAAAGTTTCAGAAAATGATACCAGCTGCAAAACTGAGCTCCCCTCAAAACAGTACCTGTTTTTAGCCCTCCTGTGTGTTGATATCTCGTTCAGGTGATTTACCTCACAATATCACCCAGTTTGGAGGCTTCATAAAAGGCTAATATAGATGGGCACACCGAGGCACACCCTTCACCTTTTACACCACTGCATTGTTGACCAGTTGAAACTTCAAGGGCAGCCCCATATAGAATGTGTTGTAGTAGTCAAGCCACAAGGGGACTTGTGTATGAGTGTCTGTTTATAGAGGAAACCCACCATCTTAAAAAGAGGCTATGCTAATTACAGTAATAAGGACCTGAGAGTTTGTATTATTATCATATACTTTATTCATTAAACAGGAAACTCAGTCAACTGAATTTATTACTACTACTACTACTTCTACTACTACTACTACACGTAGTCCTTGACTTAACAACTATTTATTTAGCAACCATTCACAGTTACAACAACACTAAAAAAAATGACTTATGACCAATCTGTACTTACAACAGTCACAGCATCCCCACAGTCCCATGGTCAAAATTCAGGTGCTTGATCAACTGGCAGGTATTTCTGATGATAGCAGTGACCTGGGGATCATGTGATCATAAGTTGCAACTTTCCCAGCCAGCTTCCAATAAACAAAGTCAATGGGGTGGGGAGGGGGGAACTGGATTCATTTAACAACTGCTTGATTCATTCCGTAACTACAATGATTTAACAATTGTGACAAAAAAGGTGATAAAATTTGGTGTGACTTACTTAACAACTACCATGGTTAGCACCGAAATTCTGGCCCCCAATTGTGGTCATAAATTGAGGACCACCTGTACTACTTTCCTGACATTAAGAAAACATGAAAACTGACTTCCCCCAAAACAGTTATGCTTATTCTGAATTAACCTGTATACTGAATCATAAGCTAAACAAGCAAGTTGAATGTCACAACCTCTCCCCAAATTTAGCCTCTAGATGTTTAACGTGTTTAAGTAGTTGTCTATTGCCAAAAGGTGATTCTAGTAGGGTTCACTGCAATATGAGCAGCCAAATCTGGCCTGCATTTTCTTGTCTTCAATGTTCTAGCTATCTTCTCCAACTCAGATTGTGGGAAGAATTGGAAAAAAGAGCCTGTGAGCATTTCAAATGAGAGGACATGGCAGGAGGGAAATTGGCTTTTATCTTATTTATTTGTTTGTTTGTTTGTTTGTGGAGGGATCAGTGACATCATCAGAGTGGGTAGGGCTTATCTTTTCAATCTGCTTTTAAATGGTTGTAGGGAAGACTTAAAGGCCAAATAGGGATGAAATGGTCCAGATGCTTTACTGCCTGCATTTTGACACTTTCTCTTCAAAAAATTGAAAATGCAGTAGTGAAAAGATTTGCTGTCACATTTTGGGATGTGCAAATGGGGCAGGCAGGGGAAGGCTGCATCCTAACCTACAAGAAGGGGCAGGACTGAGATATTAAACCAGAAAGAGCTTTTGCAGCTATCATAAATAGCACCTAGAATCATTGAGAACCATTGAAGGCATTGAAGTGGATTAATGGGAAAATAGTTTTATAGTGAGCGTGCATACACACAGTACTCGCCTGCAAAGGAAATTTAAACAGCACAATTCGGTGACACTATTGGTAGGAGAACTGACAACTTGGGAACCTCAGACTGAACTAAGATTTTAAGGTGGAAGACGAAACAGTTTTCCCGAGTCTGGAAATACAGCTCCAGGACTGAACAATATCTGAATCATCTCCATCTTTCCTGGCATTGGATTCAAGACTGCCAAGAGGAATATCTTTCTTTAAGTTCAGCCTTGAGAAACAGAAACACAGTTAAGCAATCATTCCAGATGAATCACCTTCTTCAGTGCCTGGCAGCACAAACCACAGACCAAACTTTACTCTGTTTGAAAACTGCAAGTACAATTGTTGCAATCCAGTAGACATTTACTGGGAAGTCTTACTTAGAAGAAAGACAGGAGGCTGCATATTTAGTATGGAGAGCTCTTTCAACCACAGACTTCATATCAAGACAATTGGTGCCTTCTGTGTGACATCTGGCTTGCATTTTGCTGCTAAGCAATCATGTGAGTGATGGGTAGAGAGAGAAAGAAAAAGAACATTTAAAATTCAACTATGGTTGAATTTACGGTATTCCCCCCCCCCCTCTTTAACAGAGGTCCAATTTTTGGAGACTGCCTGGACAACTCCCTGCAGATTTCTTGGCCAGGTTTTCCAGAAGTATTTTGCCATTGCTTCCTTCCTAGAGCTGAGAGAAAGTGACTGGCTCAAGGTCAGCCAGCTGGCTTCGTACCCAAGGCAGGACTAGAACTAAATATCCTGGTTTTCTAGCTTGATGTCTTAACTACTACACCAAATCTGCCTCTCATGTACTGTATTAGATTCCATCTCAGATAATGCTATCGAAGTGAAAAATATTTACCATTCCGGTCAATTTGAATGAAGAACACTCCTAGCACTACAGGTACTAAAATTCATTTAATACACTAAAGTTCATTATAACCACCTTCTATAAAATTAAACATTTTTATATTTAACTTTGTTTAACTTTAAAAATATCCCAACACATTGCATTTGACAGGCTTTTTATCCACTGTTCACAAGAGCTCATATCAATGGAGACTACAGTTTTTTTTTTACCATCCTGTATTTTTGTACAGGTAGTATTTGACTTACAACCACAATTGAGCCCAAAATTTCTGTTGTTAAATGAGACATTTATTAAGTGAGTTTTGCCTCATTTTACCATCTGTCTTGCCACAGCTGTTAAGTGAATCACTGCAGTTGATAAGTTACTAAACAGGTTGTTAAGTGAATCTGTCTTCCTCATTAACTTTGCTGGTCAGAAGGTCACAAAAAGTGATCACATGACCCTGGGACAGTGCAATGGTCATGAATATGAACAGTTGCCAAGCATAATCACATGATGTTGCAAAGGTCGTAACGGTCCTAAGTCACTTTTTTCAGTGCTGTTACAACTTTGAACAGTCACTAAAAGAAATGCTGTAAGTCAAGGACTACCTGTATTTCAAAAACCTCAAGGTAGAATACAGGCTGCATAGACCCATCTCCCTTGCTTCGTACAGTAACCTTTGAAAAGGATAACTGGTGCTTCACACTACATTAAGCCAAAGGTACACAATATCTTTAGACCAAGTTTGGTTCTTTCAGTGGTGTACCAGAAGCTTCACTCCCAAACACAAGACCAGGTCAACTGTTACAGTTGATTAACTTACATATAAATATAACTACAAGAAAAATAGCGGAATATATATTTCTCTTGATGGCTATGATCATTTTTTTTCTATGGTAGCAAATTTTGGTAAGGTTTTGTGGGCCACCAAAGGGTTTGAGGAGTTGCTTGCAGCTCAATTTATGCACTGTTATGTTAAGCCACAGTGGTTTAATCAAGGTTTATTGGGTATATCACAATTAACAGGTGCCAGACATGCACAGTCACTAAGCGATGTCAACAGTAAACTAAACCTCAACCTCACACTTTCACACAATGTGTGAATCCAGCCACTGACTAGATCTAGATTACCCAATAGATTTTAATGGCTAAGTATCGATGTTAAGACAAATCCCTCCCTCAGATTGTAAGATAAACAAATCTTTACAGAGGAAGCTTGAGCCTCATCGACAATTTTCTCTCAGCCTAGAAAAGGCACAGAGCCAAATCTCAAGCAATTTGACCTCTCCGTTTATTATCTAATTTTATGAAGGCCTGAGGCAGATAATGCAGACTGTGTGGTTTTGATATTGGCCTTGGTGTTCATCAGAGCACTCTCATTACTTCCCATGGGAATGGTTTGGGTGGAAGACCACTTATTCCAGCTAATTATTTAATGAACATCTCGAGGGTGCCCCATCGAAGAGCTTTTTCTCTGACATGTTTTAACCCTTACCATCACTGCTAACAGAGGGAAGATACAATAATACCACAGCACAAAGCTAATTGACTAGGAAGGGTGTCGGCTCTGGAGCCCACATGCGGATCTTTCATCCCTCTGCTGCAGCCCCGTTGCCCTGTCACAGCAGAGGGATGAAGGAGCTGTGGCCCTGTAGCGGCGGTGGAGATGGCCAGAGCCTTAGTGCGGGAGCAAAGCACCCCTGTATTTGCCTTTGCACAGCAACAGGATTCCACCTTCGTCATGGTACATTTGCTATTGCCACCAGCAAAAGGGGCTGGGAGAGAACAGCGGGGTGGATCTTGTGGGGTGGGGACTATCCCCAAGCCTGGCCTTCCTCTTTGGGGGGCCAAGAGAAAGAAGAGGGCGGGGTGGGGAAGCGCTTCTCTCCCCCAGCCAAGCACCGAGCACCTCTAGACATGAGCTGCCACCTTTGAGGAAGCCGGGCAGTGATGGCTGGAGCCACTCTGAGGGGGGGGCAGTGGAGGCGTCAGGGCTACTCCCCACCC